CAAGAGGGATGAATGTTAATTCCTAGTGCTCTGGGCACAGTCTCTGACTCTCTGGATAAAATCTTAGTCTGTCAGTGGTGGAGAGCACGCATATCTTCAGAAATCTTAACAGTGACTGGAAGAAATGGGTTCCTCCGTTATGATTTCTTTAACTCAAGGGAAGGTGCCTGGTTGTCCGACAGTGCAATCTTTGAGCCAGTGGAAACAGAAAAAAACATGAAACCTGTTCACAAGCTGATTATTATGCAGATCAGCAATCGTTATCCTTTCTCTCATTACCTCAAATGCTTTCTGCCATCTGTTGGTAACAAACCTGCATCTGGCAGATTACCAGAGGAGCCCTAATCAATGGGTAATTGGGGTAGAGGATTGTGCAGACAATCCTGGCAATGAAAGCACAGAAAAACTTAAAGCAGGAGAAGAAAGTTAGCCTGTCACAAGTGTGAGATCCTACACCCAGCATTTCTCTAGCATTCTGACAGAATTTCTTCTTGTTGGGAAGAGTGTGGAGTGAGGGGAGATGCAGATCTGTCACAGGCAATGGGATGAATTATACCAGCCTCTGTAACGATACCTCAAGCAAAAGGTTAATTTCCAAGAGATTATGCCAGTGAGTGCTGCCAGGAGAGGCACAGAGCAGAACAAGCACAAACACGCATGAGTTTGCATTTCCACGGTTGCCTCTTAGAACCATCTGTTAATGAGACGTGGAGGATGCTACGGACTCTTTCAAGTAATGGCTCCTAATCTAGTCTCTTAGTCCCTTCCAATAAGAAATGCTCAAAGTATGTCCCCTGCAGGTTTTCCTTCTCCAGCCATGCATGCAGAGTCCTGCTCCCTTCCGTATAGTCCTTCCAAGTCTTGACTACAGCAGTTCAGATATATTTGCATTATTCTTCTGGCTTCCAAAAGAAACAAGGTTTTTTAAAATCACACTTACTGGTGCCGAGCTCCCAACAGAGACATACTGACAGATTTCAACTGAATTTTCAAACGAGGCAGAGTCTCAAAGTTACCAGATTCCTACAAGTTTTGAGGGAAACAGCAGCTGGCTGGAACAGAGAAACCCAGCCAGTGCCTCCACTAAGGGAAAGCAGGGGGGAATTTGCTGCTCTGCATTCCCATCATCAGCTGGCTTGTCCATCAGCAAATGCTTTCAGCTACTCTTCTGCACACATGGAGCTGTCAAGTGACTACCACTGCTGCTGTCTTCCTCTACCATGAGTACCTAGAAAGTAAGAGATTAAAGTTTAAGTGGTAATTGTGAAGACCTCTAAGAATCAAACTTTATTGATTCACCTTTCAAAGAATAAATCAAAATAAAACCCATACTGTACCATTTGAAAGATCCAATCCATGTTGTCTGCCCTTCTGTCACTCTGTACAGACCCAGAAAACAATTTCAACCAGAAAAATGTTCAGAGCATTTAACTCTCTCTAATCATGTTATAATGGTGCTCAAGATGTCAAGATACCCAAGTTTAACAGTGACACAATAGATCAGGAAGGCTAAGTAATCTCCCAAAACTAGATGGAAGGGGGTGAAAAAAGCAGGACATTTTTTTATTTTTTTTTTTACTGTGTTTTGCAGGCCACTGCTGTGTTATACCTGCTTCTACTGGCCCTAGCAGCTGGCAAGGTACATACATAACATCTCCTGCCCAGACACCACCCTGGGAGTGTTGCATTCATTGGAGCATGGAAAGAACAAGGAATTCTTGTAGTAAGAAAGTGGCCTAAAGAAAAGAAGGAAGTAGAAATCCCTATAAATATCCAAATGTTGCCAATGCCCACGCATGCTGGGCTGGGATCCAAAGTAACTGTTTTGGGGCGATAAGAATCCTTATTAGGCACCTGAACGTGGGAGAGAGGAGCACCAACACCCAAGCTAAGATGTTAATGAGACTGTGACAGAAAAACAACATCCTCAAGTGATCTATCCAGGCCGCTGTGACTCAAAAATGAGAATGCGAACCTCTACTATTCAAAGGGACCAAAGTGAGACAGAAGAATGCAACTAAAAGTTGGTTTTAGAAGCATGTTCCCAAGAGATACAGATCTTATTTCCTTCCTGCTATTAAAGGAAAGGGGTGACTTCGATATGTACTGGATTACATTACGACAGAAAGCAACACCCCCATTTATTCAAATCCAAATTTTTTTTTTTTTTTTTTAATTCAGTATTTAAGGGACATTATTGCAATCTCCATCTAACAGCTGCAGCCTGCAACATGCTGGTTCGGTTGCATTTACATCGCCACAGACAGTAGGCATCTGGACACAATAACTTTTTGTAGGCTACTGATTTGGACTGCTACCAAAAACCAAGGGTTCTGTATAGTTTGTGACCCAAATTAGATAACTTAAAACTTTTGGAGAGGGAACAGAAATAGAGCTGGTAGAGAGAGATTTGCCACATTGCTTTTTTGGGTTTTTTTTTTGTTTTGAAATGGGGATATTGTGTGATCCCATCTTAAAAGGGGGAAGAACAACTCTGGTTCTTCTGTGCAAGATCAGATAGCTGTTTGTCAATGGAAGGAATACTTTCTCCAGCTAAACTGAGCCTCCCATAATCATTAATGGTATTAATCAGAATGAAGGGGGCACAGTGAAAAGCCAAATCCTCTTCAGATGTCATTTATGGCACTGGAAAAGCACTGAAAACAAAATCAAACAAACAAACAAACAAAAAAACCAACCAACCAACCAAACAAAAACACACACAAAACCCAAACAAACAAAAAAACCCAAACAAATAACAACTCAGTTCTTCAACATGACTATGCTACTGTGGGCAATCTCTTTAATCTCAAATTTTGTTAAAACAGCCATCCGATCACTTCACTGCTTCGACAGCTCTCAGCAGTCACACCAAGCAAGAGGAGAATTCAAAGACATGATACTTAATTGTCCTGCTGACACCTTAGTAGTGACTCAGACAGGTAAGCATCTAAGAGCATTTTAAGGATCCTGAGTATTTCAACATACAGACAGGGTAGTTTAAGAAATAAAAGCACCTAAAAGCCAGGTATGACACTCAGCAGCATCTAGGAGAGCTGTTTATACATCAGTAACCCTCCCGAATCCAAAGTATGTGCTGTCCTTCTCTCCAACTCCTCCGTGTTCCACCAATACAGGAGATTTGTAGATCCTCCTCTGTGTCTGTTGCAAATGATAAAATCTGAGACACCCCTTCCCTCACAACCATCTCTTGATGCTCCTGCCAGTGACTCAGAGAAAAGTAGTATACCCTTCAAGAAAGAGAGGTTGGCCAGAAACAAGTATTTTCCGTGTCTGTACTGATTCTGCTGTATCAGAATAAAGACTGCAAGCTACATTCATCACACTACCCTGGCACAGCTTTGGTCCATTTCCCACGTTTCATCCTTGTAAAACCTGGAGGCCAGTGGACCTCTTGTTACCCTCTCCACATAATTCTCTTCTTTGTTAGTTTTCAAGCTTAGTGGCAGGGAGTTTCACCGCTCACCCCCTATGAACCCTTCCTATATTTAGTATCTATGTCAGAATCAAACAGTTCTTTGCTAGAGCAGTGAGCAGAGAAGGTGGGAGACAGATGTGGTTGCTGAGCTGGTGCCTGTCCCAGTGACAGAAGAATGAATGAAAAAAGGTACATGTCAGGCATCACAAAGAAATGGCTCCACCATCACTGGGTCTCATAAGGAGGCAGTAACCTCCAGAAGCGTTCTGACTTCTGAAGAACAGGATAAGAAGAGAGCACTTTGAACTTCTGCCCAAGGCCCTACCTATAGATTTTGGTTGACTCGCAGAGAGCATCCACCAAGCCTGCTGCATTATGCAGATGTGCTGAAGGACTGACAGTAATACTTACATTGCGCACAGAAATTCTTCCTACTCCCTCATTTCAACCTAAGTTCAGACTGAACTTCCCGAGTTGTTGATTTCCTTCAGAGCTGGACAAGATGCCTGGCAGGCGAATAATCCACACCTTTACCTTTGGCTTAGATGCCACAGTAGCAAGTGAGCAACTTGCTGTGACTCAGAACTGCTGAAACACAGTTCTGAATCACTCAATTCCATGAACTTACCACTTTCCAGGTACCTTCTCCATAAGGATACAAGGACCACTCCAGATTCCTCTCAAAACTCCCTACTTTTTCTGTAATGCTGCAGAGAAAAAGAGCTTTCAGGGAATAAGCTCCGATTCCAGCAAAAAAACTATTGCCAGAGTCTAGACTTGCTGACTGCTGAACGCTGCTATACATTCCACTTCACAGTCTCCTAAAACTGGCTGTGTGTACAAATATTAGGTAGATCAAGGATCACAAGACATTTCTCAATCAACAGCCAACAACAAATTTAAGAAGATGCTACTTATAAACAGAAAAGTTCACATTTAGTGATTTGCACCCATTCAAGCTCACAGAAGACATTTCTCTCCTTCATGTGTTCCTTGAGATGTCTGAGCAGAAATAAAGAAAATGTTACTTTAGACTTTATACTTACTTTCGCACTAAGAATTTTCAACAGAATGAAAACAAACTCTGGCTTATTATGGAATGGTTTTCGGTATGTTCTGCTTTCATTAGATGTTTCCTGTACTAAAATATTTTCTGCTTTGGAAACCCTGCCACGGCAAGTCTTTGAAGCACATACTGAGGATTACCATAAGCAAGCTTTCAGAAGAACATAGCAGAAAGATGACATGGTCCTAGTTATTCCAATCTCATTAACCGGGCAAGCAGGCAAGTGTTGGAAACAGACTGCAGAACATAAGGAAGTGCTTTTCTCCCCAAAAGGGTGCTCAGCAGAATGTACCACTGTAACACAAATGCAGATGTCGCTCTGAGACAGTCATGCTGTGTCACACAGGCAAGTATTAAACAAAGAACTGGGACATCTAGGACAGTAAGCCTCAACTCTCAGTTTCCTCCTCTCCCAGCAACAGTCAGCTCAGTTCTTTCAAACAGCCTGAGCTGGTCTAAGTTTATGGCCTTGTTATCAAAGATGGCAACATACGGTTCAGCTACACATGGAATATTGCTTTATTTAGATCAGCTATACATATGTTATCTTGATAACTATTACAAGAAAAATTGGACAACAGCTATTTTGCTAGAACCTTGTTAATTAGCCAAAGACCAACAATTTTTGACTACCCGTACCTTCACAGGCTCTTCCCAGAGAATAAGTACCTTGTTCAGGGGGTGAAAAACACGTAGCAGCCATCAAAAACAGCTGGGGCAGCTGCTAATAATTGTCATGTAGAGTCTGTAGAGAAAAGTCCTAATGTTCCTCCTCATGTTCCTCTTCATCTGTGACATTCCTAATTCATCCAAAGGCATTGGCCCAATATACAACCCCTTGTGTGTGAAAAGAGGAACAGAGCTGAAACATGAGAGATTAAAACACAACGGATCTACTCTCAGAGAAAACCACACTGTGTACCTTGTTTTTAATAAATGTGGGAAAATAAAAGAGAATCTATAGACAGGAACAACTTATGAACCCAGTTCCACAGTAATTATTTATTAGAAAATCTATTCCCTGTGTACACGCAAAGAGATGAAAAAAGACTGTTGAATAACTGACTAATTGGAAAACACAGATGTCTGCTTAAACGGAGTCCAGCAGCCTCCAAGTTCAAGCTGTGTTCCGAAGATCATGTCCCATGCCAAGTGACCAGCACTTGGGTTGCAATTGCATGAAGTGGAGAATACCTGCCTTTGGATTCCAAACCAGTTGTTCAATCCTTTTCATATAAGCTACCACCCACAATGAAACATTCAATATGGAGCATGAAATGAGGGGTAGGCTATGGTTCATCTTCTCCTGAACACTTTCATTGCAAAAACCTCTACCAGTAGCATACTCGGTTACAGATGAAGCAAAGAAGCTCCATGCTAAACAAACAAAAGGCTGGATCAAATCCCCTTCTGAAGACAACACAGCCTACAACCAACATAACATAGCAGGAACATGCGAAGCCCTGCAAAGTAGGGAAATGCCTGTATGCCACTTTATAAAACAAGGGTATTTATGGGGTGTTTGGAAGCGTACGATGGAAATCCCTGTGCAGTGAGACAGCTTGATGTTGTACAGACTCATCAACTGTGCTTATTCCCACACCAACCGAGGTCTGCAGCATATGTGCTGAATTAAAACAGCTCCACAACCATCATCGTAGGGGCCGTGAAGCACTGCAGCCAGTCTGAATCTAATACTGACGCTGCAGGTTGGAAACTATCCTCTGCTGAGCTGCCCCACAATGACAAAGGGAGTCTGTAGGATCAGTTATAGCTGTACTTGTAACCTTAGAGTGCTCCTGTAGCTTCCCTGTTCCTAAGCAACCAGTCTTACTCAAACAAGCTGCCTCCAATACCTTTGGCCATTACAGAAAGGAAATGCCTGAGCCCCTTTTTCCCTCCATCCCAACCAGTTTCAACATGTAGATCTAACAAACAAGTTCATTTAATCTTTTTCCTCTCCTTCCACCTGAAAGCAGCTGCAGGCCAGGTTGCTTTAAAGCTCATACCTCAAATAAGTAGACTGATGCCTTTCCATGAGATCTGGAGTGAAAAAATCCAAACACTGAATTGAGGGGGAAGTATGATGAGTCTCCAAAATCACAGTAAGGGCATGAAGCTCAAATCCTAGGGAGCTCATAAGGTGAAAATTCTGGACTGGGCACAATCATGGGCAGCAGTTAATTTAGGAGCTGAACCCATACACAACCCACTGCAAATTTAAAGCACTCCTGTAACATTCCACTTTCAAGCTTTAAGTTCTTCAATTTTACCAAAATTCCTATTCCAAATAAAATTATTTTTTTCTTCTTCAGCACCTCAGTGTGAAAGGTACAGATCCATCAATACTGCAGTTCCACAAGGGGAAGCTTCTCTGAAGTCACATTCATAAAGTTTGGCCAAATTATTTTCTAGAAACCACCATTCCTTCTCCTTCCTAGGGCATTCCTTCCTCCATGTACAAAAAGGATAGGAGATCCTGGCCAGTCTCTTGCTGCTTTGAGGATACCATAAGATTCTCTCAAACGCTACACATACTACAGTGAAGCACATGGTACTCCATCTATTCTGGAGAAAAAAAAAGCCTCAATCTGTCTGAATAAAAATAATAATTAAAAAAAAATCCAAAACTCCATGTCAAACCTCAAATTTTATCTCAGCACACTTGTTGCAAAGAAGAGGCCCATTTTCAGTCTGTCTTCCTACAGCTCAGTACAGGGTTGTTGGATGAAGTTGATATCAAGAACAACAATTCCTATGAATTCTCACTAAAAGCTAAGTATTTGAACTTGTAAACATAGTCTATACGCTGACAGTGACAGGGCAGTAGTGAATGGGAACTACCCATTCCAAGAACTACATGCTAATACATGACTACAGTCTGAGTCAAAGTATAACATCTAATTTTGATGAAGTACAAGATGTTCCTACTCCCACTTGCCCCTTTATTGGCATTATGACCCCACAACTCAGAGGCAAAAGCAAACACACTAACTTCCCTGTTGATGCATGTCGGTGCCCAATATCGTATTACAAACCCAGCTTTACTGGTGCTTTTAACAAAACACACTAGATGAACTCAGGCAACTAAGGAGCTGCATCACATTCACTTCTACCATCTCTGCTGCTGGGACAGGGTGAAACAAGCAAAAAAAGCCAGACCCAAGGCCACCAGATATTGCAACTCCAAGCCCAGCGATGATCTCTCTACAGTCCACTGAATCAGCTAGGTCTGTAGGAACTCGAGTGCAATTAAACAAAAGTGGACTGATACTCATTTGTTAACAGAGTAGATCCAGCTTTTGATATTCAAAACCTGAAAAAAAGTAATTCGTGAACAGAAATTGCCTTTTAGTTACAGACAAATTTTTTACCATCTTTGCCTTCAGTAACTACCTTACAGGTCTGTTTCCACACACCCCCACCCCGCAAAGGCACTGGGAACCTGCTTCAGTTCCTCACTGTTTGGCATTCTGCTACAGAACACCTTTAGCTTCTCTGCAGCAAACCTCGGTATTTAAATGGACAGCAATGACATCTAGTGGCTTGTTAAGAATTTGCCTTCCTAATTTTCCAGCCCAGTCATTTATTTTTAGAAAGGAGGCAAAACACACAGCTCTCAGGATTCCAGTTAGCTGCTTCCAACTACACAGACCAACAGCAAGTGCATCCAAAACTCTCTACCAACTATTCTGTAACACACGCTCACGATTATCTCCCCCGCCTCTCACCATTTCCCCAATCCCTTGCCTGAAGCCTAGCAGAGGTGAGGTAGTAGGCACAAGTTTGCTTTAGGCCTTGCCTGAACAACTAAATTTCTTCAGTGTAAATGTAGCTACAGATATTTGCTCTGGTTACATAGGGCTGAGGCTCCCACATACCCTTCTGGTTACACTGTTCTCTAGTGGCATTGAACTAAATGGTAGAGGTTATTCACACAGACAAGGACAAGGCCCAAGGCTACATCATTTGTAACAGCTGGTACACAGTTCATTAAGATTAAAAAAAAAAAAAAAAAAAAACAAACAAAAAAAAACCACAAACATACAAAGGACTGATTTCTAAAACATAACTGCTGAAATTACAAGGAGAAAAGATAAAAATGCTATTCAGAAAGCAGAGGAAGAGATCTTGCAGATTAGATTTACGGGAGAACAGTAAGCAGCTCATTTCCCTCCAGCCCCTCAGAAAACCCTCTTACCTTTTTCACTGATACTGCAAAATTGCCAGGAAGCACAGGTGAGTAGTTATTGACACTTCTGAAGCATGTGACAATGTAAGGAAAGTTCAGAAGATATCTTTATGTAGCTTCCTGTACTACTGGCACTAGTCATTTAATCACTGATAGAGTCTTTGCAGGCATTAACACTCTCCACAGCCTTGACAGCGAATGACCTGAAAGATTTTTCAGTTAACAACAGTGAGGAAGCATGAGATCTGTAGTATATATATCTGGTGCACAAGCCTACAGCCCTCAGAGAATGTTGCATACTAGTCATTAAAAAAAACCACCTAGTTCTGGTTTTGTTAACTGAGACATGTTAATACCTAAGACTGGAATCAGCAGGTTCTTGAGGTGCCTTCCCCGACCACCCCATCTCAGGCAAAGACTGGAGTTATTTACTTGGTGTGTCTTCTTCCAATAGCATGGATGAGCAGATCTTCCTGGAATGGTCTGTAAGCAAATAATATCACTAACCTTCAGAGCACAACAGAAACATTTAGTGATGTGGCTGTCCTGTAGCACTAGTAGGAAAAGAATGGAGGACTATAATAATTCTAACATACCAGGAAAGCATCCTGTGAAAACCCAACAGAAAAGAGATGGGACAAGTATTAAGAACATCTCAAAGAAAATAACTTGAAATTACTTCCTGCATCAGAATGAGCTGCTACTTATGTTTCTGCTAAAGGGCAGAAAAACTGCCACTTGCCCTTGATCAGAAACTGGTTTGGGGGTGGGGGGGCCTACTGTTGCTTTATAATGACATATACAACCTTAAATATCACATTCTTTACATGAAAAGATGATGATTCGGGAGTGGCCAGTTATAACTGGTTTAATGATGAGCTTCAAAAGACATCACATTTAGTTTTCATCACAAAATTCTTCTGGCAGACCCATCAACTTACTCAAAGCAAAAGGCTATCCAAAGCCAAAAAAAATGACAGCATGTGGGGTTTCTGAACTTAATGGAACTACTGAAGCAGCGGTTTCTGACAAGCCCGCAACAAACACTAGCAGGTGGTAACAAGACTGCCTATCCCATGGCTCCAACAATGAAAAGAAGACTTCAAAACCTCAGATCTTCCTACTGTCAGCTCTGTTTTTTATTACTCATATCATTTTACACAGATAAAATTAATTCCTTTGAGGCTGAAGCTCCCAACAAAAGCATGGATGTTCTTCTGGAGCACTGAACAGTTATCAAGATTCTTAGGTCAGCTCCTTGAGGAAACCAATTTATATTTCCTTTTAATGATGTGAAGGCCCATTTCTACAACCCTACGAACAGGGTAAGTGACCAGCAGATTGACAGAGGTACTCCAGACAAGCACATGCATTCATGTGAAAGAACTGAAGAGGTTTTTCAGAAGACAGTATTTTCTACTGCCTTAAATACAAGAACCATCATTTTTCATTTAGATCATTCAATTTTTCTGCCAACTACTACCTTTGTGATTCAGCCCCAAACAGCAGAACTTAATTAAAATTTTAGTTACTTCAAAAATAAGCAACACTTGCTAAATCTCTAAAGAAAATGTGTTGCTCCCTAACCCACAATGTAGTGATCGCCACCTGCTGGGAAGCGTTTTCCCAGTCAGTGCTCTCCAGAAAGTATCAAATACTGTCAAGGCAGGCAAAAAACTGCCTGGTCACAAGGTATGGGCATCAAATGGCAAAGCAAATTTCACACCGACAGAACTTTTCTGCAGTAACCCTTGAGAGAAAATATGACTAGATCTCTAGTCTAATGCTCAAGTGCAGCTTGAAGCGCACCACAGCAGGACAATACAAACAGGCTGTGTTCCTGCCTGCAGGGTATCAGTTGAAACCTTACTACTGCATATATCAATTTTGGTTTGGGGTGAAGACAAAACCATGACCCACAATACAATGACAGTCATAGTAGAAATAGGATTGAGAGCGGGAGGAAGGGGTGAACAGGTTAGGAAGCATTGTCAGAAATAGTACCTAGAGAAAAATCAAATGCACAGGCTTGTCCATAAAGCTTGTGGGAGCGAGAGTTGTACACCTTGAATTGCAGGCAAATGACTTAAGCGTATTATGAGACACTCCTGCTTGAGAATTATACACATTCTTATATTACATTGTGTAGAAACATGTATTTGTGTAGCATTATGTTTACAAAATACATATGCAAAAGCATTTGTCCTTTCATGTTCTTTCCATGTATGTGGTTACAGACTCAGCAAAAAGGGAACAGAAGGCAATTCTAGCTTTGAAAGTGATGAATGAAGACTACACTGCTTAGTGTTCTTCACTACCTTCCCCTTCAAGCTTGTGTCCACCAAAACAAAGACCACATAACAGAGAAGACAAATCATAGGCTGTTCCCAATTCCCTTTGGACAACAAGGCACTCCATTAGCTTCACACCAAAAACCTCAGAACTGCAAGCAGCAAGCATCTGCTAAATATACTCCAGTAGGTTAGCTCTACCTATTGGCTCACGTTCTTAGACAGCCATAGCTATATCTCCCCATTTTTCAAGACTAGTTCACTGTAATCCTGATAAGTCCCCACTACTCTTTCCTCAGAGTTCCACAGAAGCCACTGTGTTCCTGCTTCTGCAGGTTATACTCCCACCACAGAAGCCTTGCAGGTTGTGAACAAAACCACTCTGGTGCACTGACAGTTGCAGATTTGGAAAACTACAGCCAGCTTTGCATCTCCTCTTCGTACTTTTGGGGATCAATAAAAGGCTTGTCAATGGACCGGATCATCAGCTCGCCACAGTACACGCATTCAGCTGCCACAATATCATCAATGTCAGCTTTGATCTGCTCCCGGCTCTGCTGCCCCTTCCCTAAGCTAATGGTATCTGTGTCCTTGGGACGATGGTGGCTCTTGGAAGGCTGACTGGTCGACACCAGCTTCTTCTGAAGATCTTCAAGTTTTGCCTGCTTATAGGCAGGAAGGTTTGAGAAAACTGCTTGGAGGAGACAGTCATAGTGAAACATGTGACCACACAGGAAAAGGTAAAAAGGGCGGTTTAGAAGTGGAAAGTCACAAGCAGCACATTTTTCCTGAGGCTCCACAGAGCCATACTTATTTCTCATTTCCTGGATGTCCTCTCGGATTCTCTTGGCACTCTGTGTGGCTTCCTCCATCTCCCTTTTCAGCTCCTCAATGTGCTTGTTGTAGTCCTCCAGGGAGTTACAGATTGCCTCCTTGAAATGATCAATAGTGACAAAGTCTGGAAAGAATGGCAGGACGTCTTCAATCTTCAGCAGGGCACAGCTGGAGAGGCAGGCCATTGCCTTTTTGACATCCTTCTCTTCCTGAACAACATGGCGAGCAATCTTCAACCAGAGCTTCTTCCGGAGTTCCTCATCATCTTCAGGGAGATCTGCACAGGACTTGGCAAGATCAACATCCACCTAGAAATTGGAGAGACCAGGAAACAGTTAAGCTTCCCTCTTTGGTTATCCACCATTCAACTTCAAAGACTGTTGTCCATTATAGGAGGTATTAATAGAAAACTTCTATTGCCACCTCATTGCCTAGGGCTGCACTACTGGCCTGCTCCTTGCTCACATGTCAAACACCCCTCCACCAGTATTCCTCCTCGAAGATTTGTTTGCTACCCAGCAGAGAACAAAGCCCAGCACTACAATAAGGGCAAATCCATGTTACAGTATCTTTGCTGGCCGCACATTTTAGTAAAGACATAGCAATGCCAATAGAAAAAAAATCCAACATCTCCCTGAAGGTCAGACTAAGCTGACAAAAGCATTCTTCTGTGATAATTATCACAGCTACAAATAGGAAGTAGTTAGAATCCTGAACAACTGCATTTATGCAAGACTTGTATAGCTGATACATTTAAGGTATTTTATGTTAGAGACAGACAATACTCCCCCTTGTACTTTCCATGCCCCTACCCTCAATTATGGCTTGTCACTGTCAGCTGTCTACTTAAAGCAATTGTGAAAGCACAGAAGTATGTCAGAGACAGGTCTTTCTTCCTAGACTTAGCTGCACAGCTCCTATACTGATGAGTCTGTCCCGTTGAGGGCCGTTCAGAATAACAAACTACATTCCTATATATCATAGCATGCACACACAGACACACAGACCTGTAAGGCGAGATCCACAGCCTCCTCATACAATTCCATCACTTTGTAAATATGGACACACGCGTGGTGGTGCCCATGCTCTGCACACAGGCGCAATGCATACTTCAGGTCATAGTGGATCCTGTTTGGGTTGGTTCCTGCCTGCTCCAGGTATGAGAGCAGCGAGTCCGGCCGACACAAAGCGTAAAGAGACAACAGGTAGTTGTGAATGGCTTGCTGGGTTTCCTCCAGCTGATAGACACAGAATTCCATGTATCTAATGGCTTCATTGATCTGTTGGGTGCTGGCGCTCTGGCTATAGTTAACAAGTGCTGGGATGAGGTTCCTGGCATCCAGTCTAGAGCCCATAGAAATCCAAGCATCAACTACCTTCTTGGGAATATGCTGGATGAGGACGGGAGAGAACTTGTAGAACAGCTTCTCGTCTCTGTGCCTGGACAGCACATTCAGAGCTTCATCGTACTCATCGTGCTGGCAGTGGTGAGCCACTACGCGTTCATAGTCCTGCATGATGACTGCAAAGTAGACCATGTGCTCTGTGTCCCCATGGCTTGCCAACAGCTCATAAATGGATGCCCGGTTATTAAATAGACAGTCTTTGTTTTTAGGACTGCTCAGGAAAGTGCGAAACTTCTCCCGTGTATCCAAATAGAGATTTCGCTGCGAGGGATCTCCTTCCAATATGCCCAGCCAGTTCAGGTACAGCTCTGTTAACCACGTGGTCAGCAGAGTGGTCTGTGTCTTCTCAGAAGGCTTTAGGTTACTTAGCTTCTTAATCAGGAATTCCATCAGGGCCTCTTCTTGCTTGGCTTCAATGAACTTAAGGGCAATTTCCTCAAAGTAGTTCTGGGTCAGCGCGTAACATTTGGCACTGTCTATATACCTCTTGTTTTGGAAGCAGTGCTCTGCCTCTTTCGCCAGCACAATATCTAGGCACTCCGGACGGTCTTTACAATACTCTTTGGCTAAATCAAATTTGTTCATATTCATATACATCTTCCACACATCTCTAGATTCCCGCTGGACGTGGTAGCGGAACACTACTTTCTCAGTGTGGATCCATATCTGCTGGACTGTGGGATCTTTGATCATGCGTGTCAGTAAGCCAAACTTCTCCAGGAACAGATCTTGAAAAACAACCTGCCCATTCAGAGTGCAGACAGCCTTCACCCGATCAGGCAGCAGCAACAAGAAGTGAAACTGGGTAAGTACAATGGATATTGGCTTGTTCACAGTTATGTCAATATCAGAAGGGTAAACCCAGACCCGTTCATCACTCAAAATTGAATCAGGACGGCTATAATCCAATGTACCGTATAAAACACCGTTTCCCATCATCCAGGCAAAGGAGCGTGGGTTGGAACGCAGTTTTGGGGTGTAAAAGGCTATTTCACTGAAACCAAGGTTGGCTGGAAACTCCCGGAAGCTGGGCAGATGGTCAGCATGCATAGCAAATATGGAGCTGAAGCCTTGCTGCTCTGTCCCTTCAGGCACTTTGCCAACAAACTGGAAGAGTCTCTTTCGAGTGGTGGCTATAATAAAAAATTTGCCTTCTATCCCTCGTTCAATCTCTAAGCAGCACACTGGGGCAGGTCCTGACTCTTCCTCCAGAGTGTGGACCTGTCGGAAGTACTGGTCGGGATTAGTGCTGAAGAGGCTTCCCTCGCTGACCGAGATTTCAGCCTCATAGATCTGCCCCTGGGCTGTCCCCACCAGGATAGGCCCAGTGTTGGTCTCTGAACCAAGAAATTTGTTCCAGCCTACACTTTCAATCAAGTGGCCTTTCCAGCGGGAGAGTGCTCGCACTTTCTGAACACTTCTGTTCAGGTAAAGGCATTCACCGGTGTTCAGAGCAATCAGGAGATGAGAGCCTGCCAAAGGGAGAGGGATATAGGAAGGAGAAGAGAACAAATTAAGACTGTGCCTAAGCAAGCCAAATTCCTGAAGCTTCTAATCTTCACATTTGATAAATTCCGATATCAACGTACTTAATCCAAGACTTTCCCAGGCTTTCATAGGAATGTGGGGGATTTCCATGCCGGACCAGAATGGTAGTCCATATGTTACAAACTTGAATTACTAGTCTCAGACGCTTCAGCAAGAACACATTCTTCTGTTTCAATAAATGTTCTAAGGATAAACAGTTCCCAGAGCTCTCTCCTATCCCTGGCAGTTGGTGACAGATACGAACATCTCTTTCCAAACTTTTGTTTTGTTTTTTAAAATCAGTCAAGGCTACAGTGAGCTGAAGATGTTTTACGGTCCTTTTCAAAAATTCTTATATAAACACATACAGCACAGGGTGACTGCAAAGACTTCCTTTTATTGGTTTTAGCAGCCTCACTCAGAACAGCCTAATTGCATGTGTTCATTTCAGAGAGTTCAAAGGCAACAACGTACACACAACAAGCCAGTGCTTTTCTAATACCACAGAGGCAAACCAGCAGGCAAGGCCCCTGGGCAATGGAGTCCTGCCCACAGAAGAACCACATTTACAGAACACAAAGATAACTCCTGCACCAGTGCTTGTTATGCACATTCAATTGCATCTGCTGCCAACCACTGTCTGTAAATATACACAGTCCATTGCCTCACCTGTGTGGTCCAAAAACATCTTGTAGACTCTGGCTTCATCTTTGCGTCCCAGCTCTACCTGGTTAGGTTCATCTGGCTTCCCGAGATCAATCCTGCAAAGAGAAACCATGAAAGCATGCTTCCAACAAAAGTTCATGGAGGTGTAATTGCTTACTGTTTTCCATACTGGGTTTACGGCTTCTTAGCCAGTTTTTAAGTTCTCTAACAACTCAAGAAAAGAAGAGGCAGGGGAAAACAAGCAATAGCTTCAAGACTCTGGCAGCATTACCTGAGAAGGGTGTCTTTGCCAAGGCTCATACAGAGCTGGTTAGAGGAGACCACTAAGCTGTTAATTTTCTCTGGAGGAGCAAAATCAATCCTCTGCTTGTTAAATATTGGTGTTTCCTTCTCCAATCGTGCATTCACATATCCTAGAGAAAGAACATGAACACTTGAAAACAAAACAAGACAAAATCCCACAACAATCACCCCACACTACATCAAAATCTAACCTAAAAGACTAGAAGGATCATTGCCTGCTCCAAGTTTTACCAAAAAAGGAGCGTGCTCCATGGAGCATAAACACAGAGAGCAGCACTCACGTAGATACGTGTAACAGGATAGAAAAGTCGTAATAAGCTTTACCATCTCATCACAGAACTGCAAATTGGTCACAAGCATTAATTTGAAAGCACACAGAATTCCACAGGAAGCCACAAAACTGTGACATAAACTGCATAAAAAGCTGAAAATGAGTGTAGAATCACAAATTTATTTTCCTTGGTTGACAGTTTATTTCTTCAAGACAAGAAAGTATGGCTGGTGTTATATAAGACACAAAGAGGGCTCTGGTTTGACACTCCCATACAAGCTACCCAAGAGACCACTCTGGCACTAAGTGAAATACATTTCTCCCTTATTCCATGTTGGAATTGAATGAGCTACCATACTTGACAAACATCATTCACAAGTTAAAGCCATTTTTAAAGCCATGGGTTTTTTTTTTTTTTTTGTATCCACTTAGCAGACTTCATCACAGAGAAAAATCTGTTGGATTATTTGCTGCAGGGAACACAGCTGGAGGTCACAATGATACTTTGTACCATAACCCTGTTCTACCAACCATAACACTATCCTAATTGCAACTTTCCAGTTGTTGCTGGAAGGCAGACAAACTACTTATTAGAGCCAAAACAATAACCAAGACCTGGTGATTGCTGAATCAATGCTCCAGTCTTGGCATAAATTGCTTCCTGAGAACAAAACTCATTCAGACTGGTTTACTGTTTCATGGCAAACCCCAAAATGGAGCCAGACTAACCTAATCCTCAGATCCTTTCAAAAACCATGCCTGAATTCTAAGAAATGCCCAGTTAAGTTATGGTAAAGAGTTAAGGGTTGAAGTCTGACAGGACACGGACACCTTACAGGACACATGTTGAGTTTTAAGCCCAACTAAGCAAACCTAACAAATCAATGAATTGAAAATGGGAGCGTGTACAACCAAAGCAAGTTAGTTTATGCAACTAATTAAGTATTCAGCTAATCAGTTTAGTCCCAACCAGCTTGGGAAATGTGGCATACATAGGAAGACACATTGAGGGATTACTTATGAAGGAGATCTAGGTGGGAAAGGCAGAGAATGGAGAAGTAATGTCTGACTTGAGGGAACTGACATACATCTGGAGAAATATGTTAATAAATAAATCTTTGAAATCTATTGCTTTAAAAGCCTCTTACGATCTTTAGCAGAGATGGGCAAAGCACAAGATGCAGTTCAAACTCATTCCTTTGGCTACAACAAAGGCAAAAGCCCAGTCACAGGCAAAGCAGTCAACAAAAACTTATCAGGCAGGTAAACCTGTAATGCCCTGTGGCGGCACAGAGAAGCAGCATGACAGAATTAGTTTTCATTGAAGATGGGTAGACCTCTGCACCCAAAAACACGGGACTCACAGAGATCATGCCATTCTATTCCTAAATGAGGACAGCATTCTTTAGGGTTTCCTATGAGGAAGCAAAAAAGCTCAGATATGTAAGTGAACTGCAAAATAAGAAGGCATTCACATAATATTAAAACCAAGTGATGACACTCATTAGCAAACTCCTGGAACATATGTGCGTCCACAAACAGATGTTATCACAAAGTTTCATCCACATCTGTCCCGCGAGACGAGTTTTCCCAGCGACTGAATTTCCCATACGCACAAAGTCTTACACAACCCTCTGACAGAGAAAACAGCAGAGGATCTCAGTCTGACCACATCATCTCAAGCTAGGAAGCAAGACGGATTGGTACCTTGCTAGGTTAACCCACCTGCTTCACTCCACATGCAAGTGAAGGATTTCTAAAGCAAGCAGTTAGCCTGGACAAGAAGATTAGAAACAAAAAGAGCTATAGCAAGTTAAGGCCATTCATAGCCAACGTAGCTAACTAGGAAAATGTAAACTTAAAGAAAAAAAGAAACCTTGGATTGTATCTCAGAGGAAACAGATTGCTTCAATCCTAAAGAGCATAGACCTGACACTTCCTAGCTAACAGCACCATTTTGAAGCACACTTAATACCTATAACGTCCCCCACACTATCCTGAAAAACTCTTCAATTCAGCCCGTTGCTGTTGAAAAAGCCAACATAGTAGTGGAAAGCAGCCTACTAACACTATGAATCCTTCAATTGAGTATTCCACCAATGCCTTCTCCTTGCCTCTGCCTCACCACTAGACCAGCTGCAGGATCTTTAAATGATTCTTGTTTTAGAGGAAAGATGCACATGCAGGAGCAGACAAAGCAAGCACAATCTGAGTAGGCAGCCTTTTGCTCAGCACGTATGTTTTTTTCTTACATGTTGATCCACATCTTAAAACATTACCCACTTATGCAAATGTGCATTCCTTTATTTCCAGTCAAGCAAAACAGATGTTCTTCATTTCAGATTAGGGAGCTGCAACGCCACGGTTTAAATTTGCTGGTATGAACTGCGGTTCAAAACATGCAGACAAAGGTCCCAAGCTGCAGATTCACATGATGTCACAGCTAACCAATAAATATAAGTATGTATTTGTATGTATCTAAAAAAGAAGCATTACTCTGATGGGAAAAACCCACATACCAATGGATCACCAAGACACATTCATTCAAGTAATCTTGAATTTTTTCAGATTGCCACCAGGGAAAACGAGGCTGACTGAGACAGCAAGGAAACCCAAACACAGGAGAGAAAGGGAACAACTAGCACCTATACATAGGTAAGAGTTTAGAGCTGGAGTGGGCGTTTTTGTGGTGGTTTTAATTCAGTCATAACCACTGGATTGGACTGCTGCATTCTGGACTCTTTAGGATTGTATCCATTACAATTATAGCACCTGTATCAGCACTAACATGAGGATTTTAACTAGCATCCGTAACAGAAGAAGGATGAACTTCATTAACCTACAGTTCTCTATACAAAGGACACATCTATTTTATCACATGCATTCCTTTCAAACAGTCCCCTCCTTCATCCTGACGCCAATGTTCCTCCTGTGCTCAAGCAAGATTCTACTGAAGCATTTCTCACCCTGATTTCTGGGCAAATCTGCATTTTTCCTTAGAGCTTTTAATCTCTTCAGAGATTTAAGCTCACCAACATTAGTCAAGTCTAGTGAGTCAAAGTAGGTCTTTTCATGCTGGAACTGCAGTACTTTAGGTTTACAATGCACCAGGTTGTACTTTAGGTCAGCAACACAGTCACTGCTTGGTTATCTGCAACTTGGAGAAACAGCACATGCAGTTTAACAGACAGAGGGAACAACCGACGGAAACAGAGGAATAAGTTTTAACATCTTCCAAAATTTCCAACCTAACCTTAAGGACGGCTTACAGGAAGTTAACTATTTACCTGCATCTTTGTCCAAAATCACTTCAGATTGTCCACAACTTCTACCAGCCCAAAATTACCAGTGCAGTCTGATTTAAGAATAATTAAAATCCTGATGAGGCTGTGCCTTTGCAATTAAGCAGTTTCCCAAACTTCCTCTGCCAACATCAATTGTCAACAAACATGGAGATTTCTCAACCGTAAGACAGCCATGACTGGAGACAGTGTTGCAGCAGTCAAGAAGAAAAGCTGAGTCCTTGAAAATTTATTTTTAGTAGCATGGCTTGTCCCAACACTGTTTTGCACAACACCTATTCAGGACACTTACTCTTTATCTAACATTACACAACAAAATAACTATGCATGTTAAAACAAACACAGGGAACATATCCACTTCAGTACCTAGGCTCAGAATAATTCTGTATGTGTATTTATACTCAATAATATATGTAGTATGTCAGAATTCATCAATTCTTACCACATATATAAACTTCGCAACCTGTTTTCCCCAAAGGTTAAGAGTGGGCAACACTATATGAGGAAAAAACTTGAAAGAACATGTCCATGGGTTTCCAAACTTGTAAATCAAAAATGCCAGCTCTGCGTAGCAGCTGGTACTACCACAATACCAGGTAGAACAGAATCCTCTTATAACCTACATTTCCCTGCCACACTATAAAATGTTGTGAGGTGGCATCTAACAGGGAACAAATATTGAACCTAATAAACCTTAAATTTATGATGGAATATACCTGCCATTTGCTTGCTTTCTCTCACATGAAAGAAGCGATTGGCTGATCATAAAACCGCTACTTTACATTGATTGTACACCTCCCTCAATAGTACAGTATGCAAAGCTTCACAGATCTTGACAGAAAAATTTAACAGTAATACAAATTGCTTTCCTGGTCACCTTCTTCAGCAGTAGCCTTCATGTAGTCAGGCTAAGGGAACCACTCTAAAAAAAATAAGTCTGCGTTAAATTGCCCCTGGGTTGGGAAACTGACCCCATGCAGGTAGGGCTGTGAATACTGTAACAGTTGTGTTCCTCAGAGAGAAAGGGGAAAAAAAAAAAAAAAAAAAAGGAAGCAAGCTTATAAGGCGATCTCAGGCAACTACCACAGCTCTGAACTAAATAGCGCTGAGGTGTGGTTGTAATTTGTGACTGTGAGTGCATACCGCTTCACGCACACGTGTTTCTACCACACACCACCTCACGGCACAGGGGCTACAGCCTGACAAAGCCCTCCCAGCGACAACCAGCACCCCAGTTTTGCCAAAACGACCCGCATCACCCCTCAGCTTCATCAGGAATCGAGTGCTCCCCGCGTCAAAACATATCCCACAATAAACGACGGAAAAAGAAGTCGCAGCTGAACGTTACGCCACGTACGCCGTGATACACCTTTTCCTGGAAGAATTCCCCCCCACGCCCCCAATTAATCTTGCAAGCCGAGTCCTCCGCTGGGGGGGGGGGGGGGGGGAGACACACGGCGCGACGTGTCCACGGCCCGGCTCGAGCCACAGCGCCGCGCTGCCCCCGTGGGGGGTGGGAGGGAGGGCCTACCGGAGTGCGGGATGCCCACGCTGGCGCGGCTCTGCTGCACGGAGGCGGAGCGGTACAGGGAATCCTCGTACTCGTCCAGGATGGAGGCCATGGCGGCCACCAACGGCCACCGGCCCTCGCCGGCCGCTTCCGCCAGTGCTCAGCTGACCCGCGTCACGTGGCCTCCAGGCGGCGCGCCGCGCCTGCGCCTCGGCCCTGCCCGGAGGGGAGGGTCTCCCCCCGCCTCAAAATGGCGGCGGGGGGTTGCTGGAGCCTGCGCTTCGCCGTTGCGAGCGACGCTTCTAGCATCTTGGCTTTGTGGCTAAAATAGTGATTGTGGCACAGCATATGGGGATCCAGCATAAAGCTGTCCTTGGTCTGTGCTAGATTTGCTATCGAAGCTTATCCCAGCTTTCTAAACTGTGTTGGTCCCAGCTTCTGTATCACTAAGTAGTACTTAAAACCCGGAGTTTTCTTTTGTTCTGATATGCCAACAGTTGTTATTTACAGCTTTACCCTCTAGCTTGAATTAGCAGCGTTTGTTACACGTTAACAAAAAGGACTAATCTCTTACACAACACTTTAGGGTTTCATCATATATAAAAAGAATACAGATGTATACACTACATGTATACTATGAACTATATGTATACTATCTATATTATATGTAATCTTCACTTTCTGGAAGGAACAGAGAATGTCCCACAGGGTACAGCACGATTTGCAACACAGGGGCATCTGTTACAAGGTAGAAGAGCTCTTCCCAAACCTCTGAGGCACCGCCACAAGCAGTGGCATGTGGTTGCCTTGGCACAAAGAGAGTTGTTACATTTCCTTTCTCTTTGCTCTTTTACTGGACATCTCCCCCCATAAACTAGGGTCCCGGTGTGCCTCGCTCAGCCCCAGGCCTCCTCCCCAGCGCTGAGCCAGCGATGCAGGTCCCACGCTAGCCGGGTCGCTGGAGGCTCCCATGGCGTGCCTCCGCGGGGTCACCTCTGCCTGCTTTGCTAAAAGCGTAACGTGGCTCTCCCTGACTCAGCCTGCCTGCAAACGCTGGCAGGAGCTGAGACCCAGCCCCGGCCTCTGCTGTTTACCCTCTTTATGTGGCAGCTCTGAGCTAAAACAACAAAGCCACATTCCTTTGCTCTCCAATCACCCTGATCATCATAAACAGCAACTGTTCTCTTTCAGCTTCTCAAAAGGTACACACAAATTACATTGAGTTTAGGGTAATGACATAGGAAGGGACTTCTTAGGCTATTAGATCCGTTCTCCCACTCTTGTAGATACCACATCATATAGTCCCTTCTCTATTCCTACCAAGCTGTGTCTGAAAGCGTGGGTATTTTTCCCCCTGACTGCTCCAGCTGGTATCTGTTCCAAATACTGATTACTCTCATGATTTCAATCTCTGATTTCCAGTCTAACGTAAGCTGTGGTTAGTCTGAAGACTTCTGTTCTTGTTCAGACACTGTCCTTTAGTGTACAGGAACTTTTAGAGTGTTAATTTCCTTTGCAAAAATCATCACCAATCATAGCCTTCATTCCAATACACCAAATACAGGATTTACCAAACCAAGAAGTTCTTGCCCTTCTCCTCTTAAAAAGAGGAGGCAATTTGTTTCCTGGAGCATCAGAGTAGTTATTCTCTGCGCTGGTTGCAGCTTCAGCTCATGTTTATGTAACAGGGGTGAGCATAGTTTGACACTTCATTTAAGATGAGGTCTCCCCCTGTTGCCTTCAACAATGTTGCTTTTACTTTTTTTTCCCTTTTAGTCACACTTTTAGCAGTAGAAGACTGAAGTGTTATTTGGTAAGGGGGAAATAAACTCTCTTGAAATATATCTGGAAATTAGGCTAAATTGAAATTTGTGCACAAATTTCTCAGTGTCCAGCTCTATGGGGTGTTTCCATTCAATATAATCTTTTTTTTCTTGGTCATGTCCAGAAATGGAAGAGATCTCATTCTGGCAGATATTGTTGCCAGTTAGGGCTGATACCTCATGAGAAACCTGTGTCTGATTTTAGTGTGGTTAAATTGGAAGCCAGATTCTCACCTTATTTGGAAATGAAACATCAGCCTAAAGCTAATCCAGGCCCACAAGCCTGTTCCGTCCATCTGCACTATCATCTGCTGTGCCTATTTAATTTACAAACATGTGCAATAATTATATCCCAGTGCTGCATTCACAGATTTGATATTCTAAAAAGAAGGGGAGAGCAAGGGTTTCAGGCAAAAGATTTGTCAGCTCTTTGATTCACCAGGAACGCGTGGAGAATCAGATGATTACATTTTGTGTGTAGCAGTGATATAAGTCTGTAAGAGGGACTTGTGGGAGAGAGCTAAGTGTGTGATTTTAGTGCTATATTTCGATTGGAAATCTAAATTCTGGTCTTGGTTTTGTATGGCTGTGGTCACACTTGCAGTAATTTTGGCTTAAACAGTTAGCATTTTCTCTAAGCTATGGACACAGCTATCAACATCTAGATGCTGTATGACATGCTAATCTCTTCAGTTTCCTTGAGGAACAGATTCTAGGTAATGGCAGTGACAGACGTATACTGTGTCCAAGGTCCACATTCCCTGCAGATTAGTTTTGTCTAAATCTGGGCTTCCACAACATGATGTCTGTCATTCCTGGCTGCCCTGTCTGGCCCACACCTTGTGCCAGTATTACTGCATGTATGACTGCAGAGTGAGGCACTTCATTACCCTGCAGCAGACAACTCTCTGATCCACCATCTAAACATGAGTGCTGATGCAGAAGAGAGGGCAGGAAGATGTAGCTGTGGGAAGAGGTAAGGGCAGAACAAAGGCAGCTCAGATTTAAATAACTTGAACTGCCCCTGAGATAACCTAGTGGCACAGTTATAATTTGAATTAAACCCTGGACTTCCTCACAGATTTCCACTACAGACATGGTACTGATCATCACTCCACCTCACTGTATACAGAATATTCCTTCACTGTGATCAACATAAAAAATACACAGCATTCATTAAAGCCATAGGCAAATATGTGTATTTCCCCAAACGCAACAGTCTCCGTAAGATGCCAACAAAGATGTAATATACAGGCAGGCTCTCAGGCACCCCGGTACCTGCTTTGAGGAGAGTGTTGCAGATACCTGTGTCCCCCACCAAATCAAGAGACCTTCTCCCAAGAGTGACACTTCCCCAGTGACATGGACAACGTCTTTGGGTGACCACATGAATTCTGTGTACAAATTTACTACAGCAAAAGAAAGTGCTGTGGCTGTGTACCTTTTGGGTATCACAGTTACCTATGAGAACCTGAACTGGAACCTACATGGGAAGCCATACAACAGTTATAATTTACACTGGAAGAGATCAAAGCTCAAAATGAGTTTGACAGAGCCCACCTCCTAACCATTAACCAACCTCCCAAGCTCTTCAAACTCATTGTCAGAAGCAGACTTCCTGCAGACCCGCAAACGTTGGGTGGAACCACCACATTATGCCAGAGCAGCAATTGCACACCTGCATACCACAGCTCCTCTGACACCTTGAGATGTTTTCCCACAAGCAAACTATCAAGGTCTGTTGACGCTACAGATGCACTCCAGAGCATGCTGCCCTTCAGTAAGCGCACCGAGGGCCCTCGTGGAAACTCTGCAGGCTTAACCTGGCAGTCCTAGGATGAGCATACAAGCACCTGAGAGAAAGGACAGAAACATGCTTTTACAGTGAGATAACCCTTTTTCCCACCACCAGCACCCCGTGGCTAATCCCTCACTTCTGATCCTCAAGGAAGATCTATAAATGCTAAGCTTGAGAACCGAAACTTGTAAATTGGCAGAGACAGTGGTCTTACAGCAGTTTATGGTTTTCCTAGCCATCCCTCTTCAACCCAGCCCCTCACTGCTTGGTGTTAACAGCCTGCCCTTCTGTGTTTCATGTAGAGCATATGAACCTTATCACCTTCTACTTGCTAATTCCCTCACTCCTTCCAGTTAAGTGTTAACTCCTCTTTTCTCGTAAAGTGTCTTATTGACTGACATAATTAAATTAAGCTCAGAGCATTGTCTCCTAACCTATCCTTCATCTGAAATTTGCTGTTTCTGTTTCAGATTTAAAGGGCTTTGAGTGCCTTAAACTTTGCCCACTTTTTCACATTTATCAGTTGATTTATTAAGACATGTACTTTCTCCAGCAGATGGCAACATACTTCTAAATTACTTATAGAACATCTGAGAGGTAGGACTTGTTCCTGTGTTAGTCAGATAGGAAATAAATTTGTCTTTGAGAAGGGGGCTGAGTACAGTATAAGTGCTTATTTTTCCTTGGAACATTTAGGAAAATATTTTGAAGCTAGTGGCGTTGTCTTTTCATATAAACTTATTATTCTGTAATCTTAAAACGTAGTATAACATTGTTGTTGTAGCAATTTGCCACCACATTTAACTAGAGTGTCAGTGAACAGATGAGCCAGAACATCTCTGTGAATCTCCCATGGCATTGCTTTTATTGCCAAGGAGCAATAAAGTAATTCAGAGGCCAGGATAGGGGAAGCTGTCTTCTCACGTTGTTTCTCTCCTTTTTGTATTTTCCTAAAAGGCATTTCAAAATCACACCTCTCCAGTCCACACCAGAAATACCCATGAGCTGCTATAAAATCATAAAGTATTTTTATTACTGTGGACTCAGAAACTGCAGAGCTCCTATCAATCAAGAGCTCTATATGGGAAAGCAAATACTAGGATCTTTCTTCCTTCGATTTCGGCTGTAGTAATTTTTCTGTGAGTAGCTGCAGCCTGATTTTCCACTGACTCGTGCATTGTGGCTATTTCTGCCCCTGCAAGGTTGATAGAAAATGATACGAAGCAGCATTTGACATCACTTCCTGCAGGCTGCAGTGACTAGTCAAGGTACATGGCAAGGGAAAGCCAGACTCAGGCTCTTGTCTTCACCCTCCTCTCTGTCACTCTTCTTAAGTGGTAATTACGCTTGATTTTTCCCAGGGAGGTGCATGACAAAACACGGGGTGACTCAGCACCAGTTGTCTCATTGCTTGCGGTTAGATGGTGACCGGCCGGAGAGCGGCTCTATCTCGACCCTTTGGGCGTATCTCTGGGCATCGCGGGATGGGGTTTGCTCTGACACCTGCGCTCCAGCTTGGCCCCTCTCTCAGTCAGGGTCCCCCACCCGCCCGCACCCGTGCGTGATGGCACCGTCGCCTGTTCTCATCGTCCCCCTGGTTTCGTGTTTTCCCACGTGCAGCGCTGTGAAAGGATTCAGAAATGTGATCCAAGGGCATCGTTTGCAAAGGGGAGTGCACTGACATACGCAGCTCACCTGTACAAACCCAGGTAAAGCTGGAGGCCGGGTTTGCTCACCACTGTGTTAAGAGGGGCCGATAAATTTTTCTCTCTCCCTTGGTATGAAGGGAGCCCTGCTATTTTTGAAACGGAGGTCTGCCAACTCCCACAACATGCAATGCTTTTTCTGAGGCAACGTGAGTAGTTTGGTAGGCTTTGCAAAAGGCTATAGTAGTGGCCCCCCATTCTGTGACTTTCAGGCACACATAATTATGAAGTTACAAATGAGTTAAAATTGTGGCCACACATAATTATCAAGTCACAAATGAGATCAGCCAGGGAGGCAGAATATGATGTTGTCGGAGGTGCAGTATTGCTCAGGAGCCAGCGAAAGTCAGGACCACTAGCTGCAAAAAATCCAAGTCTCACAATTTCCCAATACTGTAACACTGCACTTCAGAGGGGAAATGATATGGAATAGTTTGAGCTGATCTGCAGCTTTGCCTCCACCACAAGAGACGAGCCCTAGTTTCCTCCTCATCCGATTTGGCTTAGTTACTTTTTTTAACTTGCTCCATAGGTGGACTTCTGCCACAGCTCCAGTGAGAAAGGTGGCTATAATTAATAGAAACTGGCAGAAAAGGAAGCGTCTTCCTCTAAATAACTGTGCTTTTTTAATAATAGGATTTTGTATGGATGTATAAAGTCTGTTCGGTGTTGACAGTCACACACGGCCTAAATTTATAAAGTGATTTCCAGTGTAAATCACTGTTTACTCTAATGGAGTTGCTTTTCTGTTTGATTTAAGAAGCTATGTACAGTAGTCCAGCCCAGCGGAGTAATGGCTGAATGCGAATGGGACCTGAAATCTGTATTTGCTCTGCCTAAAAAGAGTTTGATCTTCAGCACTTAATTCCTGGTGGATGGGAATTCACATCATGAGGAATACCATCATAAGTGGTACTGATTATAATTCTGAGAGGAGAGGCCAAACATAGCCTTGCAGATTGTGTATTTCCCACCCAGCCAGGGAGCTGATTTTGGCAGAGGAGCATGTCAAGGAGGCAGCGTGCTACAGGGCTCTCCTCCTGTACCTGCTACCTCTGTGTGCAGAGCCTGTCCGCGTGGCTGTCGGTTCAGCAGCTCGTAGGAATGGGACAGACTTCCACTGAAAAGAAAAAACAAAACCAACCAAAACAAAACTGTACAAAACCCTTGCAAACCCAAAATGTCTGACTCCTCGCTGTGTTGTGAAACTAAACCTGTATCTTCTGTTAGCTGTCAGGAGCAAGGCAGGGCCTGAGAAATGAACCCGTGGGAGCTGCCCTGTTTGTTTGCTTAATCGCTTTGTTTAAATATAGATTAAAAATCACTTAAGTGCATCCACAAGTTAAGTGTGTGTTAACCAACGGCTGTCAGAAACTGCAGGGAAAAAAAGAGCGTAGTCACAGAAGGAAAAGATTTTAGGCAAGGAATGAGAGAAAAAGGCATTCAATCCTTGGAGTGGGGCAACAGCGTATCTTCTTAAGGGACATCCATTCCTAAGTAAACAACATAGAGGAAACAAGAGCTGCCAGCTTCTCTTCATCTCTTCCCCCTGCTACTGCCAACGCTTGCTAACAGTGAACAATTTGGTGAATAATCCCTCATTTACATTAATTTCTCCTCATTAAATGGAAATGTCATGGTTCACAGAATGTCAGCCTGTGCCTGAAATGCACCGAGAAACCTCTGCAAGGTCCTGGCTTGCGGCGGTGCTGGCCCCGGCTGCGGTGCCGCGGGTCCTGGCCGGTCCCGTCGGAGGCACAGCCACACCTCACGCGTTACGGAGAATCACCTGTCCCAGCGCTTTCTGCCTCTTCTGGGGCACTTTGGCTGCCACCTGGCTCTGAACTCGCACCGAATTGCTCGGCGCTGGAAAAACCCACTCTAATGCACGCCAGGCACTTGAGGTAGCAAGAACCTGGCACACGTTTCAGCAGCAGCCCAGTTTACACCACCATCCCCGTTTTTTGTAGCTATAGAAATTGAAGGTTGCGCTAGTAAAACCACAGAAGAGGTTGATTAAAGCAAACTGCTAGAGAAAACTGCAGAGAAAAAGCCTTGCTGTTCCCAGGCAGCTTGTGGGCTGTCTCCAAAGAGCGGGCCTGCTTTGTCCAGCCAAGACTCTTGAATCTGAGGGGTTGCAGTGCTTGTGGCCTTCTGTCAACCATAGGAAAAAGCTTTTTAGGCTGTGCCTGACTTGAAGATGTCTTCTCAAGTTTAGCATTAATATAGGTGAAACACCTGGGTAGCTTCTCCGCGTGGATGCATAACAATGGCTCCTTGCAGCACAAACCTGCCTGGTGCAGGCAGGGCTCCCTTGAAGGACGTGGTATAACTAAATTGGTGGCATTCATTGCCAGCCTGAGCTTAGCTCCTCCATTAGGAGACAGGTCCACTTGCAGAGCTGATGTTGCAGCACTAGATATTGTGTGCATTAAGACTTTCCCTCCAGTGTTTTCAATCGCTTGGTGGTGTTACCCCTGGGGCGCAATGGTTGCTGCGATAGTGCGGCCACATCTCTCCTTTTAAGTGGTGTGCTCCCACTCTTCTCTTTGTTTAGCCGTACTTCTTTAGACCATGAGCTCCCCAGGGCAGGGATGGAGACATCTTCCCAGCTGCCAAGGGCACAGTGCAGTGTGTGAATATGAAAAAAAAAAAAAAAAAAAAAAAAAAAGGCAGTGTGCTGGGAACCCCTGTGCACGTCCATGCAGCGGGGAAATTAAAAAAAAAAATAAATGCTTTGTGGCTTTTGCCAGCACGTAGCAACAGCTCGGCTGGGTCGGAGGAACTCGGTGGTGGCAATCACATAGTTAACAAACGCGTTTCTGTCATTTGTTGCCTGTTGTCTCTCACAACATTGACCGGCGCTGGTGGTTTTTTATTCCTGTCATGGCCAGAAATCACAGATGCTCCAGGTGGGGCGATGGAACGAAATGCCTCAGCGCTGCTTCTTTTGAAAAGAAAAGCGGGGCAAGGGCGGGGGGGGGGGGGGGGGGGGAGGAACGGGGCCGGGGGGGGTGGGGGGAGGGTGGGGGGAGGAACGGGGCCGGGGGGGGTGGGGAACGGGGCCGGCGGGGGGGGGGGTGGGGGGGGGAGGAACGGGGCCGTCGGCTCTCCCCGGTGTGTGCGCGGCGAGGGGAGGAGGCGGGCCGGGGCGGGCCTAGGGAAATGGGGGCCGGTTTTGGGAGCGGGGCGGCAGGTGTAGCGGTGAGGAGCGGGGCCGGGCCGGGCCGGAGAGGTTGGTCCCGTACGGCGAAGCAGAACCCCGGCAGCAGCCCGGCCGGGCGGGCATGGCAGCGGGCCCGGAGCGCCGCTCCCCGCGCTGAGCCCCCGGTGCCGGTGCCGGTACCGGTGCGATGCCCCCTCAGGAGCTCCTGGACTACTCGCCCGCCTTACGGAGACACAGCCCCCCCCGGGGCAGCGGCCCGGAGCTGGGCATCAAGTGCGTGCTGGTGGGCGATGGAGCCGTGGGCAAGACCAGCCTGGTCGTCAGCTACACCACCAACGGGTACCCCGACGAGTACCAGCCCACCGCCCTCGACACCTTCTCCGGTGAGTACCGGGGGGACGGTCCCGGGGGACCTGCGGGAGAACGGGGGGGGGGGGGGAGCGGAGCTCTGAGCGGGGGCACAAAGCTCCCAGGGCGGTTTCTGCAACTCGGGACTGAATCCCCCGGGCAGGTGGAAGTCCTGTATTTTCACAGCTTTGTGCCTCAAAGTTGGCTCGTGAGTGCGATGAAGCTGGGGAGCCTTCCCGGCTTTGTGGTGTTACTTTGACTAAATAGAAGCGAGTTTAATTTTTTGTTGTTGTTGTTCGTGGTGGTGGTTTTTCGCTTTCAGAAATACCACAGCATTGCACTGTAGGCTTGCTAGCTTCAAGTGATATTCAGCAAAAAAAAACCATTTTCCCTACATGTCCACTCAAGTTAGCATCGAACAGAAGTTGTCCAAAAGTTGAAGAGCTTTAACTCTGGCGAAAATTGCCTTCCCTGTCAGCTGATGAGCTCTCACTAGTTCCCACTTTTGTAAATGACATCTTTGTTCTTGTCCTCCACTCCTCTTCTTTTGGGCTCCAATTTCTAATATAAACCTCAGGAAAGTACAAAGCCCTTTGAAAGATTTCTGATCTTCATCTGATACGAAGAAACACAACAGTACATGACAGTATAGATCAGAAGATTAGAGATGGGCTCAAGGCAGACCAGGAACGAGACTTCTAATGTGTCATAGTCTCAGGGGTTCTTAGAGGGAGTGTGTTGTTTGTCTGAATGTCCCCCCGGTTGCTCACTCTTACACTGGGAATTGTTGATTTGCCTTGACCCTCTCTAAGTTCTTCCACTGTCACTTGAAGGAAAAGAACTGGAACGTGCTGCTGTTCAGGGTCCAGCAGCCCTTTCAGAACAGATGTAAGGAGTCCTTGAGTTGTCCAAGGGAAAGCTTAATAGTCTCTCTGCTCTTTGTACACCAATGTGTACAGTGTGGGCTGAGAGAGGCTTGAAATTACCATAGTTATTAGCTTCCACATCTTTGGAAAGGGCAAGTCAATAGTAAAAAGGATCCAGAAAGGTGGAGGCTGTATAAGTCCAGAGTTGATGGGCAGCAAGTAATTTGAAGATAGCTGCACATGGGTTTAGCCCCACTCTGGCTGTTCAAGTACCAAGCCTGACTTCCAGAAGGGCATAGCATTTGCAGCTGATAGAAATCAAAAACATTAAAAACAGGTCTTCCAAAGTTCACTTTCTGCTTATTGGGACAAAATAAGAGAATAGAGGAGTTTCCCTTCCTACCCCTACTCTTAACCTGGATAAACTTGAAGAAAGTCCCTCCCTGGATTCACAAAGCACAGTTCAAGATCCATTTGAGAAATTTCAGCCCAATTCTCTCCACTCTTGGGGAATACTTGCAGTTGAAACTGCCAGCAGAACTGAGCTTCACCATTTTAACCCCAACCTTCGTCCTGGTCACAGGACTGTAGTGCCAACAACAAGATCGGAGACAGCATTGCGTTATCGGGGGAATGGCTCCTGGACTGTGACCCAGCCACGTTTGTCTGGGTCCTACCTCCTGCTGGGTGTCACTGCCTGGTAGAGCAGCCTCGAGTTAAATGCGTACCCAGTGACCTTTCTCCACCAGGCTATCCTGTTCTGCCTGCCCCTTCGCTCCTGTACCGAAATCCAGCCTCATGCTGAGGGTGTGGACCTTGTGAGGGCGGTATTTGGAGGGCTGTCGCAGAGTTGCTAACGTAGCTGGGGCTGACAGCAGGCACAAAAAAACCTTGCTTGTGCAAGCACCGAAGCAGCAGGTAATATATGTGGTGTCTTTTTTCTGAAGACTGTAAAACATCTCAGAGATGCTAATTCCTTCTCTCAAGGCACTTGGGAGACAGAAGAAACCAGATACTAGAAAGGCAAATGCCCAATGCCTTGAAGATCAAGTTGGGATCTAGCAGGTTCTTTGATCAGGAACAGGTTTCTCTTCCTCCTCTGGGGCAAAGATATGGTAACAACCCAACCGTTTCCCAGTCACAAGGAAGCAATGACTTTCAGCTACGCCGAGAGGAGTGGCACTGTGGTGGACGCACCCACCTCTTCGCTTGTCCTTCAGCCTCAGTCTCCCACCAAAATTCAGTTCATCTGTTGTCTGCCTCTCCCTTTTTCTCCCTAGACTGCTTTCAGGGAGGAGTGCTCTCCTCCAAGAACTCTCCAAGTCAGTGGTTTCTATTACTTTTCTCACCGGGCTAATTACTTCAAGAATCACAAAAGATTGATCCTGCTTCTGTTTTGGGATTTGTTCAGTTGGGTTTTTTTAAACAAGAAGGACAATAAAGCCTCCTCCCTGGGCACAGCAAGGGATTTTAGCTACCTCATGTCAAGTGCCAGTCATCGTCACCTTAGCCAAGATATCTGTCTCTGTTCACCAGAGCACAGCCCCATCCACACTGTCAAGACTTCCAAGTGATTGCCAGCTCCCCAAACCCCTTTCTCCTTTTTCTGGGTTCCTAGCCAGTCTCTGTGCACTTAAACACCTAACAGTTTCATTCCAGATTTCCATCAGAGGTCCTGCCAGCCCTCAGTCTGACTCAGCTGATACCACATGAAGGCTTACTGTGATTAGGGAGTGAAATGGGAGCAGACCTTACATGTGTAACTCAGCAGTTTTTCGCTGTGTGGATAGTCTGTGAAGGGGATTTCACTCATCACTGTTTCCTTACTAGCTTCTTCATTTCAAAGTTGGGTTTAGGTCTTTGCTTTTCCTTAGCTAGGACGCTCACAGAAACTTACTTTTTTTTTTTTTTTAATGCCAAATTTCTGGCCTGGCTGGGAAAAATCTCCAATAGCTTGTTTAATGATGACTGATTTGAACTTCCACCCTTGGCCAAGAAACTAGGAACAAGTTGCTGAAGTTCCCAGTTCGTGTTTATCCTTGTCTGCTTTCTTCTGTTGTGAAAGAAGAACAACAAGTTGTTCTCAGAGCACCATTTGGCTAAGGGCTGCTCTTCTCTAGAGAAGCAGTTGTCCAGTAATATGGAACTATTCTTTCAAAATACTGGAGAAGAGCCCAAAACACCAAATCAGAAAGTCTGTTGCAGGTCTCTTAACGTTTCCAGTGCGAGTTTCAGCTGTTTTGGTGAGGCTTGCGAGGATGCTCAGCAAGGAGGACAGGCTTGAGTGAGTCTGTTCAGTGGGATACAAACCAGAGTGCTCTGGGGAAATCCTGTACCAGTGTACGTGTGTATGCTGGGCAACTCCCTTAAACTCATCCTTATTCTCTTTCTGCTACAGTGCAGGTCCTGGTGGATGGAGCCCCAGTCCGGATCCAGCTGTGGGACACCGCTGGACAGGTAAGCTCTATCTGTCAAAGCAGCTGTCAGCTCTGGTCCTGTGGGACAGGAGCTGTTTGCAGGCTTTTGAGGAGGCAGCGTTTAACTGGGAAGGAAGGAAATGCACTAGTCCAGCATCAGCTGTTTGCTGGTATGGCAGTCACAGACGGGTGAATGACAGATTCCCTCAGCTCTGAAATTTGTGTCTGAACCGTGGCGTGGCCACAAAGTCAGCATGATGCCCTGCCTTGGAGGGTGTTGCTGTCCTAGATAACATGTGAAAAAGCCACTGCAACTTCGTGCTGTTAGGAGATCAGTCCAGTGAAGACTTTTTTCCTCACCACCCCCCCCCCCCCTCCATTTTCTACAGGAGGACTTTGACTGTTTGCGCTCACTTTGTTACCCCGACACCGATGTCTTCCTTGTCTGCTTCAGCGTGGTAAACCCCAGCTCCTTCCAAAACATTACTGAGAAATGGATCCCTGAGATACGAACTCACAACCCCCGGGCGCCGGTGCTGCTGGTGGGGACGCAGGCAGACTTGCGGGACGATGTCAACGTCCTCATCAGCCTGGATCGCTACCACGTGAAGCCTGTGCCCCGGCCTCAGGCAGAAGGTCTAGCTGACAAAATCCGGGCTGAAGCCTACTTGGAATGCTCAGCACTGACCCAGAAGAACCTCAAAGAAGTTTTCGACATGGCCATTGTCAGTGGGGTTGAGCACAAAGCACGGCAGGAAAAGAAGATGACTGCCAAAGGCATCAAAACTCTCTCCAAGTGCCGCTGGAAGAAGTTCTTCTGCTTTGTCTGAAGCTGCTTTGAGGCGGGGGAAAAAGAAACACCTGATGCCAGTACTGGCTCTGCACCTTCTTGGAGTGACTGCTCCTATGGCCCCAGCGGGGAGGGTATGATAAGCTGCTGGGCTTGGAAACCTGGCTCTTGCTGGGTTACAGTATTAGATGCCTAGGAGACATGAACTGGATTTCCATTGTGCCAGGGTGTGGAATGGTCCAGGCAGCTCTAAGTACCTGCTGGGCATGTCTGTAGTGTCCCACACTAATGGGAGCCTTTAATCCACCAAGACTCAGTACCCCAGAACAGGCAGGTTACTTACATGGTTCAAAACGACCAGTTTTCTGTCTGAAGCTAACACACTTTTGGAGCCCTGCTGCAGCGTAATAAACGTGAGGGATTTTTGAAGTTTGCCTATGTTTTGGCTGATTTACAGGCTTGGTAGAAAGGAGGGCAGGGGCAGTTAGTTACAGGTGACTGCAGTGTGGTCAGACACGGGCTGCCGAGTTTGTAACATGAGGCTTGGGTTCCTTCTCTGATTCTGCTTGCCAAAAATAGGTAGAAGTCACTCGGCTGTGAAAAAAGCAGCGCTCTTTCTGAAAGGCCCTGTGAGTACCCTTGAGAAGGTTTTTCCTAAATAAAGACCATTAGCAGGCTGAAGAGAAAATGCACTGGGAGCTACAGTAATTCTTTAAGCAAAACGTTCTCGGAGAGGACTCTAGTCCAGCAGATGCCAGTGCTATAGTCCTATTTTAAGAGGTAGTCTTGAACTTGGGGACCTATTTTGAAAGGCCTTTTGTGTGTGTGGTGTTTTGAGAGAAAGAACGAGTGAGGAACAGCAATGAGTGTCTCTGTCTAGCAGAGACAAAACTGTGTCAGCACAGGGTTTGTAATACTACCAAGGGGTGAAATGTATGTAATGAAAGGAGGAGAGAGAAGGAAGAAAAATAAAGGAATAAAAAGGAAAAGGAGAGGTCGAGGGAAGAAAGGGAAATGGAAAAGGAAAGAAGAATGAACACTGTTAAATGAAAGTTGTGATTCTGCTTAGTTGAGATCCTAATATTCAGGTTAAGGACCTGGAAAATTTGCTAGTGATCTCAATTTCAAACTAACGTTGTCCATACATTAAGTTCCTAATCAAAAGGAAGGGGTTGTAGTGAGAGAGAGTTCCTCTTGGTCAGTAAAATCCTCAGTTTCAGATCCACACTGGAGAACAGAATTTACCTTGTACTGTTCTTCATGAGGCTACAGAACAGGAACAGAGGGCTGAGGGCTTCTTTCTGATGTGCTTCCTTTTAAGAAAAGTCACTGCTTGATCTGCTGAAATCAAAAGCAGAGGAAATCCATGAAGTTCCTGCCAGACAAAAACATTCACTATGTTTGCTCTGTTCCCCTCTCACCTGTTTCTCGGGGGATTCATTTCCCTGGGAGCCTATTCACATTTTGTTACAGAACTTGCATCAATTTCTAAGACTCCTTTTGCAGAGACATTTTGTTCTGGTTTATGTAGGAGAGAGCGTGACAGGTCTGTCAAGGCAATGCTTTCAATACTCAGGGGGTTCTCTGCATCTGGCCATGGCCCATCGCTTTGGGGACGCTCTGGAGTAATGTCACAGAAGGAGCTATGGCTGTGGATTGTTTGCCCCGCACCAAAAGCAAGTGTACCTGAGCCAGTGGGCTCGTAAAAAAAAAAAAAAAAAACCAAATGCAAGCAATGCAGCATGTTCTGGATCCAAACAAATGCCTGCAAACATCTCTCATGACCGTCTCCCTTCGTCGCACAGCTCATGTAGTCCCCAGGGTGCGAGACAAGCCTGTCCTCTTCCTGGGCAGTATCACAGTGTGAAAGGGGTGGGCAGGTCTCCTTGCAAAGGTCTGAGGCCCCACAGCCTTGGAGCTGCTTGTAGGGGAAGGCTTAGAGACCTGGAAAGGATGGTGTGGCAAAATGAGCTGACAAGCCACCCGGGTCCAGTGAGGAGCCCTAAGAGATGGAGAGTGCAGAGGTGGTAGCGAGAAGTGACCCGTCCCACACGCCTCTAGGCAGAACACCACTTCCTGAACAAAGCTCTCACTCGGCAATGCATCCCTGCATGTATTTCCCACCTGTACAGGCACCTTTGCTGTATCACTAGTCCAGTTTGTCTGTTGGGTCTTTACGCATTTCTTTAGCCTGTGAGTCTGAGGGCTGTGGCGTGACCGGCTAAGGAGCACGCCATACCCCTATGGAGCAAATCCACAGGTGGAAAGAACACCAGCCTCCCTCCTGCTGAGGAGAGCAAGGGTGGTCCTGCAGTAGCTTGGTATGAAACAGGGGTTATTTCATTCTGGAAAAGAAACTCTATTGAGAGCTGCTTTCTTCCTCTGTGAGTGTATCTAATGTTTGTTCAAATAAATTTTTTTTAATGTCTGCAATTTGTGTTTGTGATTTTGTCAGCGCAAAATAAGCTGGGCTTTAAGATGGAGGAGGAGTTATTCCATTTTACTAAGAGGGGAAATTGCCCCACTTCTCCCTTCATGTCCTAACCCCCACTAGCAATGGTAAAAAATCCCCTCATAGCTGAAACCTTACGAGATCCTTTAGTTAATTTTCCTCTCCCTCAGCAGCCGCTCAGGGCGGAGGCTGCTGAGGGGAATGGAGTAGCAAACACCCAAGGCTTTCAGTGCCTCTCCCCAGAAGCCACCATCCAGGGACCAGTCAGGAGGCCCTCCCAGGGCTCACTGAGACAAGCCCATGTAGGACTTGCATTTGGAGCTTTAATAACAGCATGCCGCTCTGTCATTAGGCTGGCAGGTAATTTATCATCCAGCTTTATTTAACTTACCTTGGTAGTTAAACACTGCTCCAGTGCTGAAAAATTTTGTCTGCCACATAGGACACAAAGGCTCCATCCAAGATAGTTCACGGGACTCATCCTTTTAGCCTTATCAGCATCACAGGTAGGTCAGGGCTCCTGTCTGGCCACATCTGGGGTCCCATGGCTGCTCCAAAAGCTGGGAAGCGAGGCTGCTGGGGGAGCTCAGCAGAGAAGTAGGAGAAAAATTGGGCAAAACCCACAATGCAGCAGAGCAAATGTGATTCACAAGCTAGAAGGGAATAGGAAATTACTACCGATAAAGCATGATTCTTGCCAAATAAAATTTGTTGGGTGTTTTTTTTTTTTGTTGTTTGTTTGGTTTTTTTGACAAAGTCTGAGAGCACACTGTCCTCCTGCAGTCTGCTAGATGTAAAACAACTTGTGGGATTAATTGGAGCCAGCTCCCAGCTTTGCAGCTTCCCAGCATTAAAGCTTACAGAAGAACCTGTGAATGGAAATCGCAACAAAGTGTGAATTAACTTTACGGGGAGTGAGTCATCCCACTGAGCCATATCCTGTCATGTGCACAATAAGCACCCTAAAACTCCCCGAAACCCATGAAGAACAAAGCTGAGCTCCTGGGGGTGGGGGTGCATCTTATCTCATTAAGTGGAGCATCTTACCAAAGCCACCTGAGGTGTCTTTAAAGCCTTGCTCTAGTCCTCTCCATGGAGCAGTACTGGGCCTGTGCTACTACCTGGCTCTGGTACAGTTTGGACTTGTTTCTGCCTTGCAGTGTTGCTTGACCAACCTGTATTTTCAGATGATGCTGAGAGCACAAGAGAGTTCCTGGGAGACTGTTGCTGACACAAACCACCCCACCAGGCTGGATGAAGCTAGCCAAGCCCATTACTAGGCCAGCACAATTCCACACGAGTGCCACTTACTTTAATTCCAGGAAGGATCCTTATGATTAGTTGATCTGGCTTGTTCCATGGCGCAAAGCTCAGCACCAAATGCTAAAAAAACCAATGTGCCTGTAGGTTAGAAACTCTCTAGTACCTTCCTTCTTGCTCAGGTCTCTGGCTTGGGTGCTGGTCAACAGACTCCTGCACAGTCCTGCATCCAGCAGCGTAACTCATCGGGGCTTTCCCACCACCATAAGCAACACTGCCCGTACTTCAGTACAGGTACTCACCTTGTTGTGTAATTCTGCATGAAACTGGTGTGCTAGCTACCATCTCCAAAGGTTCTTCCTAACACTGCTGAGCTCAGGTGCCAGCAATGGTAGGAACATGGCACGGAAAAGACCCTTTTGTTTTCTTTCTCTGTAGGTAGCACACCCTAAATGGGCTTAGCTGTGCCAAGAAGGTTCCCAGCTGGCACTGCTTTCCCGAGCTTCCACTGAACCCTGGCTGGGAATTAATCCCCAAAATAATACCAAGTTTCATCTGACTCAACACAGCCTCCTTCCAGCACCAGAAGGGCAAGTTTGAAAGGTCCCTTCAGGAGATCTCTGTGCCCCGTAGGTTACATCCTATTTACTTTGAAGGACAGGCTGAATTCTTACCAGGTCAGGAGCAGACATGAGTCCAGCAGCAGAAACCCAGATGTGCTTGAACCCTGCTGAAACACAATTACCTGGGAACGGCATCCTCCCTCATTTCCTGAGAGGGGTATGACTGGGTTAACAACCTTATCACTTTCTCAACACCCCCCAATTTAATCCTCAGGTGCTAACTGGCTTTTTTTCCTCAGATTGCTCCAAGTTTAATGCTGTTTATCCATTAGGCAACCATTTCCAGCTTGGAAGCAGGGTCTGGTTTGACTTTTCTCAGCTGTAGTGACAGCTAAGTAGCCTGCTGCCTGCTTCGACTTTGCTCCCGATGCCTTCCTGGCCCTGGTTTGGGCCAGGTTGCTCCCCTCCCGCGGTGATCACCCCCGTGGCCTCGCGACGCGCAGCAGGGGAACACCGGAGGAGCGGCAGTGAGCAGAGGCACTGCTCACAGGGAGAACCACAAGAAATGTTTGTCCTCTCGCAGCCTGTGCTTCAGTCAGACTGCTGCTCTTCCCACCCTGCCAAGAGTCCCCTGTGCCCGGGAGGCTGTCCTTGGCCCTCCTTAAACATCTTGGTTAAACATCTGGTTTGCTTAAACAACTTGGCTCTCCTTTACATCGTTGCCTCTCTTGGAGCCATGCTAAATCACTCTGCAGCGAGCCCGGGAGATAAAGCATCTATACAAAGAAACCACTCGAATTTTACAATATGGCTCCAAGACTGTCCTGTCAAGACCCAGCTCCCGGTCGGCATCTGCTCCCAGAAGAGGAATCAAAGAGCTGGCCCAGCCGGCACCTGGGCCTCCTGGAAGCTGCTTACTCATGCCTCTGCGGAGTCCAGCCCTGGGCTCTCCGTTCCCACCGTATGAAAACAGCATTGTACTTGCAAAGACCTATTGCACAAGAGAGCAGGGTATGTTTCAACGTATCCCTGAGACAGGTTCCCTCTGCTGCAGCCCCACGTGATCCCCGTTCCCAGGGTGACACCATGCCCTTTCCAGCTCCCGGACTGAGTTGCTCGGCATCCGAACTTGATGGACTTGTTCTGGAAGAGCAGGAGGAGATGTGGGTCCCATCCTCCCCCTCCATCCCCTTATCCCCAGTGCTGCCCCCGGGGCAGTGTTGTGAACTGAAATACTCTGGTTTCTGCTGCTGTGGAGGAACATCAGGTGCGGGGAAATTTGGCTCGGGGACAAGTTTCACCACGAGTCACCGAGCCAGGCTTTTCTTTCCCATGAGATAATCCTGGGCGGGGCAGACAATCTCTTAAAATTAAAATACAATGAAAATACACGGGCTTCCCAGGGTTTAGGGTAAATCTCTCTTTCCTTGTTTTCTCAGAAAGCGAGCCAGGCGCTGCGGAAACCTTCCCCAGGCTTGCGGCGCAGAGGGCAGGCCTGGCTTTCTGGCCAGGGGAAGGTGCCCGCTGCTCCCCCCAGCCCCCCGGCTGGCACCAGGAGCCCACCCGTGGGACCTGGCTCTGATGGTGGTGAGGGTGGAAGAGCTCGACCTCCCATGGAGGAACCTCCACGGTCCTGTAGAGGAGGATGGACGGGAAGGCACGGGGTTAGAGAGGCAAGCACGGACGGCAAAGCCCCCTTCCCACGGCACCCCGGCGTCTGCGTCTTTGTGCTGGCGCCACAGTGGGGCTTGCTGGTGGGGACAGCGCTGGTGATTTCCAAGCGGCCACCCACACGTGAACGCTTATGCTGGTGGTGCCCTCACCCCTGTTAAACTCAGGGGGGGCGTTCAGGGCATGCAAGTCATGGGCCTGCCCTTTCTCCACCATCCCCTTAAGTGTCACACCCCGCTAGCGAGCTTAACCCTCTGCTTCTCCAGGTGAGCACCTGGTTACGTAGCTCGGTAGCAACAGGGACACAGGGAGAAGCCAGGGATCTAGCTGGGATCTCACTGGCAGCGCGCGTCAACGCCCCAGCCCTGCAGACTGAGGTGTTTTCTCATCCAAAGTCAGCATCACGTGCTGCAGCGGGGCCCGTCGTGGGAGGATTCGGTTCTCCCGGCAGAGACCGCATCCCTGCGGGGCTCTAGAGGGGAGAGAGGCTGGGAAAATGCTGCCCGAGCAGTGCGAATGGGTTTCGGGAGGTATTGCAGAGCTCTAGCTGCCCTCCCGCAGCGAGCCCTTTGCTGGGAGCGACGTGCACCTGGGGACGGCTGGTGCCTGCCGCTGCCGGAGCCACCGGGACGGTGGGGATGGCTTCTCTGTGGCGCTCGAGGCAGGCCGGGAGGCAGGAGGAGCACCCAGCTACGGGCAGAGCTTCAGAAAGTGCGCATTCATCTTCCCTGCCAGTAAGCCAGCGAGTGCCCGGGGCGGCCTGATGACGCACGGCACACCTGAGATCATTTTCATGGGAATAGACCCGTGAGAGACAGCGAGAGGAAGAGTCAGGGAAACTCTCCCAGCTCTTCAGTCGGTGTCAGCATTCACGGGGCAGATTTCACAAGATAAACAAAAGCCTTTAATAACCGCACTAGAGGGAGGCTTTGAAACTCTGTGAAACCTCTGCCAGGAAAGAAGAGCAGCAGGCTCCTCGCGGAGCACCAACACCACCAGCCAGTGAGAGACACAGTGGCCGCAGAGAAAAAAAAAGGCTTGCAAAATCCAAACGGTAAAGCTCCGAGTGTGGGTACACAAGCTGTGCTCCCAGCTGCGGATAGTAGCACGCACGGTGCTATATATAGTGCAGATGAATATTAATTCCTCTTGCTGAGGGGCTTTAGTAACGTGGAGCAGATGAAAGATGTCAGCCACCCTGGAATATTATTTGGGCAGTGGTGTATAATCTGAAGGGAGGGTAAGAGAGGGTATCCAATGTTGTGATGTCTTCTGTGGGATGACTGGGTTTATTTCTTGTAAGCCAAGTAGATTGGTAGAATAACAAGAGTTATTAGCGTCTAACAATGAAGTCTTACATGTACGAGACTTCTATCAAAGGATGCTAAGCCTGAAATATGGGGACTTCAATAAAATACAACCATAGCATGGGAGGAACAGGACATCCTGCAGCACCTGGTTGGCTGCCTTATGAGCACCAGTAACAG